TTGGGACCAGCAGTTGGCGTAATGGCTATGTCACTGTACTCCCATGTAGTTGACCGCAGTTTGAGTCCCAGATCGAGTGGCTTAAACTCACAATGGGTGTGTGTGCGTGCGTGCCCAAGATCCAGAGAGGTGAATGGAGAAGGGATTGTGGCATGGCCATCCCCCCTGGGGGGTGATTTCTCACTTTCTGTATCTCTGTCTCTCTCTTTCAGGTGAACATACACACCCTATAGCAAAAACCTCTCAAAAAAAATTTAATGTTTATTGAACATTTACTTTGTTCTAATCACTATACATGTAAGATTATTTAATATTTTGCTTAATTTCCTATGAGGTAGATAGAATATAAGGATTAATACAGAACATAATTTTCATTAAGATGAGTTATAACATGGTACTGGCACCATCCAAGGGGATTTCAAAATGTTCTTGAAAAAAAAAAAAAAGGAATTAAAGTACAAGTTTATATTGGGGCAAAAAAAATGTTTGAAATCCATGTCTAGTTTTTTTCTGACTAGGAACTAGGACCATGAATTGCTCTATTTACGGAAAACAACAAAGGGTGATAAATGTGAGATGAAGTGTTGATAATTACTGTTTTAGTTGGATTGTGAAAAGAAAATGTATTCCTTTTCAATAAAAGCTAGAAGTAAAAGAAAAAAGAAAGGTTGGATTTTCTCAGTAGTTTGTTTCATAGCTAAAACCTTACAGTTGCGATTGGGGGAAAAAAAAAAAAACAGTTCCTGCAGGGAAATAAACAACACAAATTGTCTATCTTCAAATCCTTTAATTCCCAGTGAAAGCATGGTAAATTATATTTTTAATAACTTGTTATTTATTAGGGATGTAATTATCCCATCATAGTAGAACCAATTTTGGATTCTTAAAAACATCTTCATTTTAAAAAGTTTGCCTGCCAGGGCCAGCAAGGTGGCGTGGTGATCAAGGTGCTGGACTCCCACATTGCTGATGGCAGTTTGAGTCTCAGACCCTGCATCTTGAAAATCATACTGGGTGTGTGTGCATGCATGCTCAAAATCCCGAGAGGAGAATGGAGGACAAAGGACTGCAGTGCGATCATCTCCCCTGGGGGGGTGGGGGGTGATTTCTCACTTTCCCTCTCTGTGGCTTTCTGTCTTGTTTCTCTCCAGTGAATGCATGTACTACAGAAAAAACCTAAAACAAAACACAACAAAAAGTTTGTCCTCCTCTTGTTCTCTGAAGAACTCTAAGATCCACTCTGGTAATATCCTGTTTGTCTTCTTCATGGCTGTGTATTCAGAACTCAGCAGAGAACATGTCACATAGGAGCTCTATGAATGAATGACATGTAGAGAAATCGGGGGAAATCCATTAATTTTAAAGTGTTTTAATAGTTTACTGCCAAAACTATAAACTGAGGAACTGAAGTATGAGTTAATATTTTAAGCATCCCTAAGATAAGTCCATTAGCTATCTCAGCAGAATGCCTCTATGTGACTGGTGTGAGTCACACTAGCCTCAAGCACTCTTTGCTATCTTTTTGCAGTGATTCTGTGTGACCCCTGATCAGGTACATAATATTGCCCTTGAAATGGTAATTTAAAAAGCTTCCATCTCTTATAAACCAAAAAGCACCCAAACGAGTTCTCCTCCCTTCATATAAAATTAACTAAAATCTTCTTCAAGGTCTTTTAGAGCTTATTATCCCAAGAGAGACTTCGGAATTCAGGTTCAAGATTGTCAGAGATCTTCAAGGTAAAATTTGCAGGTGCTAAGATGGTCATACAGACAAAAGCCAGTGAAAATAATTTGACCAGGTAAGAAAGCTCTGTCATAGAATGAAAGACTATAGGATACTGCCTTCCATAAGACTGAAGAGTCATGATTATCTGAGATGGACAAATTCCTTAGGAGAACCAGAATTCTACTCAGTAATCCCTGAGTCTTCGGAAATGGTAAACATCTCTTACAGTCAATGCACTATCACTTGCTAAGTATAAAGCTAATGGCCGCATTGCAAATAAAAATACAACATTCTAGGAAGCTCAAGTCTAGCTGGGGAAAAAAACTGATGATATAGTGAAGACTACCCTCTAAAAACCAGGTCTTGAAATTCCTAAATAGTAAGTAAAATCTGTGGTTTTGTTTATACTGAAGGTAGTCATACTATAAAATCCAAGGGTACATAGGCTCCAAAATTGTCCTCATTTCTGACACCAACAGCAAATTTATAGGAGGTTGCGAACTACCCAAAAATATAATAATACATTAAAAAGGACCCATAGAACTCAGTGAAAGCTATTAAATTAACTGGTATGGCTTATTACATGGAAATGATAAAGAAAATCAGCCAAGTTAGAGATATATAGGACTGAGTCTGGGAGGGTTTCAAATGTAAAATTCTCAGGTTACCCTCCAGGTACCCATGTGTGACAATAAACATGGAGTACTGTCAACAATGGAAACTCAGTGTTCAGCGTTTTATTAAAGCCTCATTACATACCTTAATGGGTTGACTGCCCATGCGATCAAACTCAGTCTCCAGTACATTCTCCCCAGAGGTCAAGCTGAAACAACATGGCCCAAAGGACCCACTGAGAATAACGATTTCTATCACATGGGAAATTCCAAGGGTTTAGAAGTTGTGTCTCTCAGGAGTCTGTTACAAAGTCTAGACCTGTCTTTGGGAAGGTCAAATACTTACTGCACAACTTGGCCAGCTAAGAGTAGGAACTTATAAGAACAATGTCTTAAAAAGACAAGAGAGCACAACGCTGTTGAGGTTCTGTCTAAAGTCTAGCCTGCATGTTCATGTTGTTTGTAGAAGATAAGTCAGTATGACACTTGTTTTTGTGTTCCACATGGCCTCTCATTTTCCAACAGTGTAGTCCAGGCTGCATGACTTAGTAGCTGGCAGGGCTTTGAGAGAAATTTTTCTTATCTAAAACCAGGCTGATCTCTATAGCTTCCACCAATTTTCTAATATGCTAAACTCATAAATCTAGTTCTCTTTTGGCCCTTCCATCAAAATGTTATGTGCTAGATTTTGTTCCCTTCCCTTAAGTCTAATGCCCAATACCTCAAAATATGACTATATTTGGAGACAGAATCTTTTAAAGAGGTAATTAAGATAAAATAAGGTCCTAAGGGTGGGTTTTAATCCAATATGGCTGATGTCCTCATAAAAAGAAAGATTAGGACACAATCACAGAGGAAGACCACATGAGACGCAACGCAAACCCAGTCAAGAAGAGCAATCTCCTCAGAAGAAATCAACCCTGCTCACAGCATGATCTTGGACTTCTAGCCTATAAAACTAAGAAATTTCTGTTATTTAAGTCACCCAATCTACGGTATTTGGCAGTCCCAGTAAACTAAAACACCAATCAATCACTAATTCACATTTAATCTTTCAATGACTTTTTTGCATCAATCTCTTTCTTCTTCACTTGTAGAAACCGCCCATCCAACATTTCTGGTTCTTGTTTCTCATGCCTGCAACCAAGACTCACAACCACTCTCAGGTTACTGTTCCTAAAGGAGCACAGGAATCAGGGCACTTACTTGGTCAAACACTTTCCAATGACTTCGTGCTAAATGAGAACCAAACTCAGCGTAACAGGTAATGACCACCCTACTGGCCTTTCCAGCTTTCTTTCACACACTCTCTTTGAGTCAAGCTACCAACTTTAGAGCATTATTTTCTGCTTGAATACCTTTCCCTTCCACTTACTAAATATAAATACCCTTCTTCAAGTCTCAACTAAAATAAAGTATCATCTTCTTTATGAAGACTTTATAGATTACTCTAGTCAAAATTGAGCTCTAGTGTACCATAACTTTTAATTTTTACCGCCTTCTTAGAATGAGGAAATACCCAGGGAGCCAAGTCAAAGATTCTTGTAACCCAGAGACAAAAAGGTTTTTAAAATATGTCACCTTATTATTAGGGGAAAATATAAATATATGCCTTAAAAATATGTAGAATAATGTTTAAAATAAAACTTACACTCAACAATATATCTAATTTGTTAAGATTTCACATTACTCTTTAAAATAAAGTTTGGGGTCTAGTCTTACCGGGTCTTTAAAGGGACGTGAAAGGTTTGGGACTGTTTAAATAAACTTCAAATTATTTTTTTAAAGTTTATTTTAATCAACACTAAAATAACACTAATATCCATTACCACAGAAACTGCACTATAATAGTATTAACTCCATCTCAAGGTTTAAGCATTTTATCAAATGCTTACAAACATGTGCAAGGAAGAAGGTTGGAGATGAGCATGATCTTTCAACTAAAGCTGTCACAACATCCTTTTTTGCTTCACTAATTTGTACATGTGCTACTCATACGGATTACACAATAGAACTGTTTACATACGCAGGAAAGTTCTGAATGATGTCTTCTTACCTGTTTTGAGAGCTGGCAGCAAAGGGAAAGAACAAGGCTATGGGTCACAGACACTTTGATCCATCAATTACAGAACATTCATTTAAACGTTCCAAGGATTAATAGAGGTAGCAATTTAACATCACCTTCATAATCAAGGGCAAAGCAAAGTCTATGATTTAAAAGCTTTCAAGGAACATGTAAAGAAAATGAAAACAGCTTCTACATGAGAAAGGCAGATACCTGAATGAGGACGTGCTCGTCATCTTAGTTACACAAACGTGAATGTTTTCGTTAATAGATGTAGCAATCTAACATCACCTTCATAATCAAGGGCATTCTAGCTTATATATATTATTCCAAATGAAAATTCTATTACCATTGCTTTCAATTTCCCCTTAATTCATAAAATAGACTGAGCTGTAACAAGCTTTTCATCAAACGCCCTTTCATTGTGCTTGAATTCCAGTACTGAAGATAAGATGTCCCCATCTCAACCACCTGAAAACACTTCTAAGTATTCCAGCGTACTACATAACAAATCACCTTCTGTTCAAAAAGCAACAAAATTGTGCTTTCATTTTGTTAAGCATAGCAAATAATTATAATACTATTAAAAACTTACTTGAACTTCGCTTCCACCTCTTCAGCTGCTTTCTGATATTGCTCAGTGGTGACTTTGTAGAACTCTGAGCTCTGTGGACAAAGATTGATGGTAAAGTTTTCACTATCCAAGATGACGAAATACGTGGAAGACTTAGAATTTCAGAAAATACATAAAACCTTGTCTCAACTACTTAAGCAGTAGAAGGGTTTCTCATGTAAGTGCATGGATACTTATACAAACACATGTAACTATTTAAATAACTGCCTGGCTGTTGGTATATAGACTGTAATTACAGAGTAAATGTTCATGGTTATAATTCATCATTATTTGATTCTTCTGAGAAAAGTCCTAACATATTTTTGCAAGAGTTTTTGGAATTTACCATTGTAAGTATCAAAGGATGCCTGAGATCAAATAACAAAATTCACATACATTCATATTTCCCTATTGTCCTATCAGTGTTTCAACTAGGATATTACATGATCATTTTTTTCAACATATATTATTTTTGTCTTCAAGATGGATTCTTATGGAATTCTTTATCCTTCTGACTACAACGGCATCAACATTTTAAAACAAATTAATC